AAATTACTTTTCCAATTTTAATTGATTTATCATCGGTCTTCGAGGTATATTATAGTAAAGTTAACTTCTTAGAGAGGGACGATTATTGGCAATCGGGACTAAGAAAGTTGAATAAATCGGCGGTTAAAAATTACGATCGCGATTTTAATTGATCTATCATTATTCTCCGAGTTAATTTCGAGGAAGGAAAGACGATTATTGCGAGTAGAAAATACGGAAAGTTTGTGGCGGATTTATCCGCCCGTGTAATCGTAAATTCATTTTATTAACGTTATTAACGGTTCGACAGAAATTTTGGCATCTTCCTTCATTTCTCGCTTTCTTTCCTCTTTCCCTTCAATCTTTCAATCCGTTTCTTCTTAACCCGTATCTCTTCGTATTTTATATTATCCTATTATTTTCCCTACCAAATGTTTGTACCAATTTTTTCGCTACTTTCTTTCGACACCTTTCCTATCTCATTCTTCGTTCCATCGCGCGAAATATCTGTCGTTCTTTCTTCCTTTTTTCCTGTTCTCCAACCATTTATATCATCCTACCTATCCTCCTCTCATCGTGTTCCATTTTCATCGCGCTCATGCTCGAATTAATTAGAGAGAGAGAGAGAGAGAGAGAGAGAGAGAGATCTTGTTCGAATGGTCTTATCAATTAGAAAGTTACCGGGGGACGTTATTTATATTAAGGATGGCGAAACGTCCCGAGTAAAATGCTCCTATGTTGCGCGATAAAGTAGCAAAGTAATAAGTAGGAAAGTTTCCGCGGAGAATGAAAATCTAATTAAAAAACTTCCCTTCGGTCCCCGTGGAATTTATATTATAAGAAGCTGCGAGTATTGTCAAAAAAGGAAAAAAAAAAAAAAACAATCAAAAAAAAAAAAGAGAGAGAAAAAAAAAAATTTCTTTTTTTAAATACACGTTACGGTATTGGGTCTAATTGGGTCAAAGTTTATTCGTTTTGGCATGGTATAATTGTATCTGATCTGATCGCGAGCATAAGGGTGTTCTAATTAGAACGTTTACCGCAAATTTTGCTTCGAAGGAGAACGAGTCTTCACGCTCCGGCGATCGAAACGATTGCAACATAATTGCCGGTTTAAATGATATGAAAATCATTTTGTTGCCGACGTGTTCTGTGTACTTTAACAACTGGAACACAATCTCCGTTTAATAATTCTGGATAGGAAAATTCCAACATCGTAACGTATCAACAAACGTGCAAGTTAATTGCCGAAGAGGATTAACTGACCCATTATCTTTAATATTCTCAATACCCAAAAATCCTCACCAACTTTTCAAATCCTTTCCTTTTCCGATTTACAGAATAATTTAATAAAAATTCTACGAAAAAAAAAAAAATCTCTTCAAATCGATTCATTCTACAAAAGAAAATTGAAACGAAGAAAGGATGAGAAGAGAGATAAATTCCGTCCATAATTCGAAGGAAAAGCAAAGGAATAATCGGAGAAATATTCATCCCGGACAAATCTCCTGCGGGGGGGGGAGCTAATTGCGTCGAGTGGAAGGAGATCAAAAGCGAGACGAGTTGAAAACCGACCGACCCCTTCAAAATCTTAACCTCTCGAAATTTAATACACGCTCCATGGTCGAAACCATCGATCGAAAGATGGTTACGCGCGCGTGGATAAATTTTTAATAGGTCGGATCGCGCGCGCGGGAGGGAGGGACTCTTTTGGCCGAGTCTCCAACGATCCCCCAGCACCACCCCGTGGTGGCCTAACGATCCCATTCTCAATGGAGGAGAGCCACGGTGGGTGCTCCTTTCAACGAATTTACACGGCGTATTTGCGCTCGTTCGCGCTCGTACCGCTTGTTTGAGTTTCGCGTTTGCACACGGATAATTATAATCGAAGGCAGCGGTGGCGATTCCGCGGCCGCCATCCAGAGAGGCCCCGCTTTAATTAATCACGATGAATAACGGTGGAGGCCGCGCCAAAACTTCGTTAACTTGCAAATTTTCCCTCCCCCGCAAATGCTCCTCCAGAATAAATCCCCTCCCTTTGATTTTCCGCCGCCCGATTTCGCATGATTTTCTTTCCGGGGACAAAAATCCCCCGCTTGAATCGCCGCCTCGATTTAACGAGATCGGCAAGGCAGGGAAGAAAGTTAATTAGTCGGTAAAACGCGATCGGGGAGGATGGTCGATTATCGGAGGAGAGTTTTGTTTATCGGCTCGTGGGCGTTGCACGATCACGAAATTCGTCTTGCTTTTTATGTTAATCGGGTGATTATTTTTTTAACACGTTTCTTTACAGCTTTTCTTCTTCTTTTTTTTTCTTCTTCTTATATTATTGGACGTCTTGATACACGACGTATAAATACCGACGGTGGTTAATAACCCGGTTTTACATAATAGAATAGGTTATTGGGGTGGTTAATTTGCGCGTTCGATTATTTAAACACCGGATAATTTCAGAGGATTTCGTAATAAACGTAATTACGGCGGGGCAAAATTTAAAACGAAAATTCTGAATTAACGACGACTTGGACGTGGAATCTATTCTTTAAACGTTCGATGGAAACAAACGCGGAGAGGAGCACGAAACCCAGAGCCTGGTTATCATAATATCTTCCAGCGTAAACTCAAAGAGAGAAAGAGAGAGAGAGGGGACTTGATCATCGACCGTTCAGCACGAGGAGATTGCAGAACAAATTGAAGAAGGCTTCGGCCCGGTAATTGTGATTAATTGGAAGAAATCCACGTCGTGATTTTCCTAGAAATTCAACGTGGTGGAACGATAGCTGGGAGAGGTAACGCCAGATCCATAATCTCACGATCGTTGCAACAGCGTTTCTTCTTCATCCGCGCCGTTTCGAATCACCTTGCGCCTAGGACAAGGCCCAACTTCTGAAGCGAGATTGCGGAACAAATCATCGAGAATTCAGCCCCGGCGAACGTGATTAACCTTTACGCCACTAAGAGGTGACTATAGCCCCTTGTCATTAAGGCCTGGTAAGGAGGAGATCACGTGAGATCATCGAGATTTATAAGATGGATCTTGTTTCGCCTTTCGTTGGCGAATGATTAAACGATGATTTCGAATCGACTTCGAATCAAAAACTCGTTCGTTATTTAACTATTCGTCGTGTAACTATTTCTAATTAATTCGATTGATCTTGAACGAGTACTTCGAAAGTAATCCGTTGATCCTGATAAGATTTTTTGTTACGATGATAAACTAAAAAATTCTAATCTATCCAATCTATTGTTTACCTTTCAGAATAGATGTAGATACATTTTATTTAATTCGTCGCAAAGGAATATTCGCATAGGCCATCCGCGAACGATTTGAATAAACCATTGCTTCGAATGTACGCACTTTTATTTGCGTCGAAGATGTGTTTAGAGCGTGCGTTCTAAAAAAAAAAAACAATCTAAACAATCATTCCCAAAGCGGGATAAATAACAAAGAATATGTATATATTCAAAATGAATATCTCTAAAGCATTTTTTTTCCTCTCGCAAAATCCTTCTCCTTCCTTCCTTCCTTATCAACCACCGAATCACAAGAATCGTGTAACGAAATAAAGCAGCCAGAGACGCTTTTGAGGGGAGTTAGAGAGAACCGGAAGAAATCGGAGAGGATTTAGCAAGGATAATCGTGATTAATCACGACAGATTCGAGAGGGCTAGATATTCCTGGAAACCGCATCCACGATAACGATCAACACCAACTCTTCCTATATTTATTTTTCCACCACGGATCGTCCCCACGACATTTCCCTCCCCCTCGTGTCCGTTTCCAAACGAATTTCCCCCTCCCTCCCCTTTCTTCTCCCACGCTCCATCGCGCCAATTACTCGCGCGTGTTCGATCGCGCCGATTAATCGCGCGATATTAATTCTCGACGACGATGGAACGAGCGTGGACGACGCGTTTGGACGACGATCGGGAGGGAAGTTGCTCGTGCGAGAGGCGCGTAATTTCCACGATCGTGATTCGATGGGCCGCCCTCGATAGAGTTTCGCCGCTCTGTTCGAAGTTCGCGAGACGGTCCACGGGAACTCCATTAGGTTCGTTAAGCGTTAACGCTTCGCGGCCAACGATATTCCGTAATGGCTACCTTCGAGCCGGGGCTAATGGAACGCGGATAGCAGAAAGCGGATTTCGCTGTAACCCCGATTCTGTCGTTCGCATTAATATCTATTGTGATTACTTTCGCCGCAGCCGGCGAATTCCGGATTAATTATTGCGCCGAAAGAGAGCAAGAGGCAAGAGAGAGAGAGAGAGAGAGAGAGAGAGAGAGAGAGAGAGAGAGAGAGAGAGAGAGAGAGAGAGAGAGAGAGAGNAGAGAGAGAGAGAGGAAGAGAGACTTGGAAATGGAATGGGGAGAGGGGTCCCTTCCGCGATTACGGTTATTTCGTTGCCTCGGTTGCTTCCATTCCGAAGCTGATCGGCTTGTTAAGGATATTTCGGTTGAGGTTCAGTCTGAGTCTCTCTATTTGGATATTTGAAATTTAATTTTCACGTATTCTTTCGTATTTTTGTGCGCATGCAGGTTGGGAAGATTGTCATGAGTAACGTGTGCTTTCAGCGTTTCTACTAAATCTGGTGTTTTCTTTACGAAAGGATGAATTTAGAAGACAAGAAAAAAAATTATCTAACGAAATAAATAAATAAATAAATCTTCCATCATTTACAAGAAAAATATTTCTCATATCCATATTCATGCCATAATAATAATAGCGACTCTCCGCATTGAAAAAGTGTTTACAAAACGAGGCATTCGTGCCAGGAATATCAAGCTTCGAGGGAAAAATAGAACGCACGTGTATGTATCCGAGCAAGACAGAGACAGAGAGAGAAAGAGAAAGAAGAAAAAAGAAATGCGAAAATGTTAAAAATTAGATCGCGGAGAATACGCAACGAGCGGAGAGGATACAAGGTTGGGTTAATGAAACAGAGAGAGAGAGAGAGAGAGAGAGAATTCGAGCCTCTTGCTCTTCTTCGATCGGAGGAGATAAAGAGTATCGTGCACTCACCTTCTTCAGATGACCCTCGTTCGTGCCCACGAAGACGACCGTGTAGTCCCCGGTCGAGGTGGCGGCAACAGCCGTCAAATGCGTATCGAAAGTGAGCACGGGGGTCCCCTCCATCGGGTCCTCGCCCCCAAGAGGCGTGTTCACGTCCAGACCGCAGAAATCCTCGCCGATCGTTTGCAGTTTCTGTAATCAAACGGGGAAAACGAAATCGTCGGTTAGTCGGGTAGTTCGGTTCAGATCGTCCGGGTGAAAATTGAGAGAATTTCAACCGCTTACGAACTATCGGATTCCGGGCAGACTTTTACGGGGAGATGTGTACGAACGAATTTGGGAAGGGAATATATGAAAATTGGACGCAACTCGAATATTTGGAGATTTGGAGATGTTCGATAATTTTCAATTCTAAATTTTCTAAATATCTAAAAAAGAATATTGAAATATTGAAATTTCGAAATATAGTTGGATTATCGCGCGGAACGAAATTTGACTTGATTAAGAAATTTGGAAATATTTGAATTTGGATGTATCCGAAATTATTGGACATTTGTACTATATTCAGATGTTGAAAGTTTGAATGTTGGTGCAACGTTATTGCACATGACAATTCGTTATAATTTGAGATTTAGCGTACTGTTTATACAGTTTTCGATTAATCAACTTGTCTGTGAATCTTTCCACCATGGAACAGGTATATTAATAATAATTACAGAATATTGTTATACCGTTGGTGAACGATGAAACCGGTGTACAGCTATTAACGGTAATGCGCACTGTTTACACGCGACAAATAACGCGAGTAATGATGCTCGTTGCGACACGCGTTTCTTATTTTAAATTTGAATTAATTCACGTGCATGCAGGATGGTTGGATGTGCAACGTTACGCAACGTGAATATTTAAAATTTGTATCAGCTATGCTCGTGCATATTTAAACAAACTCTCGCAGTTCGCGCAAATATCACAGTTTTACTTTTATATTAGAGCGTTTTAGCAAGGGACGATGAAAATAAACCCTTTCGTCGATGATATCGATTATCGATTTTCAAAGTTTTTGTTTGGATATCGCCACTCTTCCGAGTTGCCGACATGTCAACGGCTATTAAAAACCGGCAAGAAACTTCGAGTTTACCAAGTTTTAATTAAGATCCAAAGCCTTCCTTCCCACTCATGAATATCTAAATCGAGAAGTAAATGAGTATACATATAAACTGAAAATCGCGAAAGCTGGAAAAGAGTCACGTCTCTCTGTCGCCAACTTTGATTCATTAAAATTAACGTTAGATAATTTTAAGGATAAAGTTCGAGAAATTTTTCTTAACGAATTTAAAGCAAAAATAATTTCGATAATTTATGAACACGAATATATTTCATATATCGGCTATTATCGCAATCCTTTAAGCACTTGGTAAGCTCATTACAGTTTCGTAAATTCCCAACAGTTAATCCATCGCGAATCTGAATCTGAAATTCCGAATAGTAATCCTAAATACATATCTCTTCGAATACTGGCGAATCGAACACTCGAAAAAGAAAATTTACCATTCTTGAAAATATTGAAAACGAATCATTGTACGCGAAATTTAACGATATTCAAAGGGTATCCACAAATTTTCCCACCACTCGAAACAGTATTACGAACTTACCCATTCATCGTCTCGAACGCCTCGTTTCGCAAGATTATCAATCCTCCTAATCAATTTTCCCACATTAACCAAATCCAAACCGCAAATCAAGCGGCATAAACCGCAGATTAGGTTCCGCGTTCCTCAGGAATAGAGACATCGTGTACACATAAATACCCTTTCCGCTCGCGCCCTCTTATCTCCTTCATCCAAGTAACCTCGTGCCAAGGTTAAACCTCGAGATGATAAGGTCACGGCGCCCATCGTGCGAATACTCTCTCCCTCCCTCGCCTTTTCATCCCGATGCGTTTCTCTCGAAACAGCTACCTTCACAGACACCGAATTCGCCGTCATTTCCAGATTTTCATTGCGAGAGAAGAAGAGAGAGAGAGAGAGAAAAGGTTATCACGGGTTATCTCGCGCGAAACCACGAAAAGTATCCAACGCTGGTGAAATATCTCGGGGAGGCGAGCGCGCGATAAATTATCGCCGCGTCCGCAATTAATTCTTGCGGCTGAGAGGCGATTAATCGCGTCGCACACCACACCAGATGCGATACTTTATTGCCCTTCTGCCGAACCTTCCTCCTTGCTCGCGTTTGCACGCCGCTTCCGGTTCCTTTCCTTGCTCCTCGCGGAATCGCCACCGTATCCGCGGATTTCTTGCGGGAATCCACTCGCGATGACGTTGATTCGATTGAATAATTGCGATTAATTTCGTGGAAACGGATGCTTTGGGACTTTGCTTCTTTTTTTTATTCGTCACGTGATCGTTGCATTAAAATAGAAACTCGAAATCTCTCCTTGACCCTTCCTCTTCTCGGGTAAATGTTTCAATCGATAATTAAGAAAATGTTAGATGACATTCTATCGAGAATCGAACGGAGAAAATTTCGTTCTCCTTTTAGGAATTGTAGCGTGGAATTAATGAGAGTCAAACGGTAACCGGGATTCGGTTGATTCAGGAGAAACTCTTCACAGAAGGATCGTTTTACGAATGGCGGGCAAAACCAGGCAAGGGGGATGCTAACCTTTCCCCCTCACACGCACAAATGTCCGCACACGTGCGAAAACGTAGGTACACGAAGCAGGAGGAGAGGTCAATACGTCGGGGGAAAACCTCGGTTTCGGCCACTCGCGAGTCGGCTCTATTTACATTCCAGGAAGCTTTCGCCACCCTGTACACACTGCACCGTGCAATTATTTGCGTTCCTGGTGCTAATACGCCGCCGATGTTACGCCGGAAAGGGTATACACGCTTTCCTTTCGAAACACGGGGCTCCGTCTTCCACCACCGCGCCGTGGACGCCTCCTCCTCTCGCTTTCGTTAGAAAAGAGACAGGGCCGAAAAGGAACAATGGTTATGGCAAAACAACGAAGCACAAGCCGTTGCTCCATTGAAAACGCGACTAATGCGGCCATCAAGACTAAATGGTGGCTCGTTACCAGGCGTTCTTTTCTCCACCCTCCTCTTCACTCCTCTCCCCCTTATTTCATCTTTAAGCTCGTCTTAAGGTCGTGCAACGGTACAACAATACCTGAACCAGCTTCGATATACGTATCGATAATTATCGTTTTACGTTAATAGCACATTATCTGATCACATTATCTGATTATAAAGGAAAATTTCAAGGATATATATGTTTAGAATTATCAAGAATTGTTCTCGGCTTATTATTTTTTTGCTTATGATCACTTGTGTATTAAACAATTACTTGTGTATTACACAACGATTCGATAACGTATGCCGTATGAAAAATGAAAAATAACTTTTGATCGGGAATTTTATTTTTAGATCGATTCATTCTCTAAATTTTTATTGTAATAATACTTTCAATATAGTTTTCAATATTTTATTGAAAAAGGAAAAATTTAACAAAATACTTGTAGATATATAAAAATAAGAAGATCCAAATTAATCAAATTTTAAAGTACAGTTTGTATACTTGTCTTTTGGAAAAAAAAATCGTTTGGCGAAAAACCCGGATATTTTTTTTTTTTCTTTTTTATTTTTGCAAACGAGAACGGTGCAACCAACGCATCGCCGTGTTCGCAGTGATTAATTTACGCGTTTCGTGTTTCAACGGAAATCGTTTGATTACGAGCGGTCGGTGGTTCGCACGTTTGTACGCGGCTTTTCATTAAATACGATGATCCGTTAGAGAATCCTCGATGGTTGCCAGGGATATCGATGTTAGGATACCTTGGTCTGCGTAAATCGCCTTTGCCCGCCGTTTGTGCACCGTTTTCCATCGTTAATGATTCACGCGAGTGACAAAAATAAGAATTTCATTATAATTGCGATATTTGATCGATCGAGAGTTTAAATTTTGATCGTCACTGCGTTGATTATTGATACCGAACGTTTCTACGTGAATTTTTTTATCATTATTGGAGTATCACTTGTTTTTGGATATGTTGAGAAAAAAAATGGTTGAAATATTTCCATCTTTATATATAAATTTTTGATGGAGAGAGAAATTCGACAGATAGAGATATCCGAAATGGATATAATAAAATCGATATAAATGAATTATCTAACAAATCTGTTTATCTATTTCGCAGTAACAAGTTTGAAAGTACAATTGCGACGTTATATTAAATAGGAAATATTTTGCAACACGCGATAATATTGGATATTAAACTTTGCATACACTGAACGCGGGGAACGGAATATATTTCGTGACAATCGATCCAACGCGCAGCTTTATATATTTTCTGTCAGATTAATATTCATTAATGTAATGAATTTGTATTTCATGCTACAATTAAACTCACCAACGGGGAAAGATGATTTGCAAAGTACATTAATCAAAATAATTAGAACCATCCCTGTTTCTGTCCTCTTCCCGCGAAATATTATTATTTAAACAGTAATCGAAAATAATTTTTCGTCAAAAATCAATCTAAACCCGTCTCACGATATTTCTATCTATTAAAAATTTAGAAATCGAAATCTCATAACGAGATCATCGCTAATTCCATCTCATTTTTCATTCAATTAATAAAACAGATATTCTCCCCAACAAATTTCTTCCCGCTCGCTTCATTTCAAAAATGAAACGCGAATCGAAAGCGCGTTATTCGAAATTTCAACTCTTATTTCCACCATCCCGACATATCCTATTTTAGAACCGGGATTAAATTACCAACGTCGAGTTCGTTTGCAGTTCCATACACAGTATCCTTACATCTTTCTGCTTTCCAACAACAAAATGGTGTAATTTCACCGTCACTGGTTACCAGCATCAACCCCTTGAAAAGACGTATACAATTTCACGTCAACAGTTGCAAACACGCCGCCGGCAAAAATCTCCCGTACTTCTTACCTTCTATTCCACACCACTCTACTGCAAGAGGAGGGAAAAAAGAAAAAAGAAAAAAAAAAAGAGAAAAAGAAAAAAAAAAAAGAAAAAAAAAATTATTACACACAATTTCTGGATCCTCTAATTATTTCCAACAGTATTACGCCGAACTCCACGTCGAAATCCGATTTACCTGTAACCGGCAAACAATTCAGCTTCGACGTGCAGGGACTTCATTAAAATTTAACGAACGCCGC